TTTAAATCATGTACCTTCATCAACAGTTCAAAGATGGAATAACACAAGATATGATGAAATACATCCATTTATTTACATGATTTTTGGGTCTTTGAAATTTGGGAAATAATTTTTGTTCCATGTTTCATACATGGTCTGTTTAAAACATATGGAACTTTAGAACCAAAAATGGTACAGAAAAAAGGTCAACAGTTTCATAAACTAGAGTACATATGTATCTGTTCAATACATAGTCCGAGTCAAGTCCCAAGTCAAATGCAGGGAAGGCAAGTCGAGTCTCGAGTCACTGGCCCATAAATCCAAGTCAAGTCCGAGTCGTCTGCTTTGAGCTTCAAGTAATTTCAAGTCTTTAAACCAAAAAAGTACCAAATATAACTTAGATTTTTTAAATTTATATGAATTTTAAGATAAATTGTACTCATAAAAATCATAGTATATTTGTATATGCATATTTATAGAGAATATAAGAGTTGTAGAAATGCTAATGTTTCCTTTTTAAATGTCTTGACAAGATCTTAGTGTGAATCATTACGCTCAAAACAGAAAGAATTTAGATTTAAAAGTGCTTCTCAAGTCTTCTCAAGTCACAGGCCTCAAGTTCGAGTCAAGTCACAAGTCACTGACCTTGAAGTCCAAGTCGAGGCCCAAGTCTTAGTCCAGGCATGTCCAAACTATGGCCCCGGGGCCAAATGCGGCCCTCATATCAGTTATTCTTGGTCCTCAGGCTTCCAGGTGAACTGCCTCAAATTACCTTAAGTACATTTTACTACCAGTTATGTGAAAATCTACCTTGATAAAGCCAATATTTAACATTTAGTGTGCACCTTTGAGATTATAGGCTTGAAGAGAGGCCTGATGGCTCATTCCAACATGTTAAAAATGCACATATTTCAATTATTCACTGCACTGACCACCAGTCGATGGCCCTCGATCAGCTCTCTGCTTCATCAGGGTTTTGACATGTGGCCCTTGATAAAAAAAAAAAAAAAAGTTTGGACAACCCTGCCTTAGTACAATTTACCAAGTCAAGTCTCAAGTCCTAAAAATAGTGACTCAAGTCTGACTCGAGTCCAAGTCACAGCTTGCAAGTCCCACCTCTGGTACATCGATTTGTTTGCAGCAGTTTTCGGGTTTAACATCAGTGCATTTGTCTGCTATACAGTTATAATCTATGACGCCTGTGGATCATTATCATTATAATTTGCACATTTAAAATCACAAAATTCATCCAAAACAATGTAATAAAAACAAGAGCGCTGACTCCTGTGTTAGAAACTGTGGTGCCCGATGGGAGCTGACGTCACCGTAAACGTCAGCAGAGAGAAACGCAAAGCAGAGGATTTGTTTTCATTTGTACTAAAATTACTACATAATACTGCAGAATCCTACTTGTATCACGGACTTAGAACATCGTCACAGTGGGCGTGTAGCGTGTTCACATGGAGGAGAAAACGGAGACAGATCAGCAAAATGGCATCTTGAAAACAAATGATTAAAGATGCCTCAAACATCCGCGAATCACTGCAAATACAACTTTGAGACACACTGGCTCAGAATCAGTCTAATAAATACACTCAAAATCTCAAAACAGAAGAATAAAGTGCTACGATTTAAATAAAGGTGCTGTGCTTTAATAACGTGCTATGAAGATTTAATAAAGTGCTACGATTTAAATAAAGTGCTATGATATAAATAATGTGCTATGGTTTAAATAAAGTGCTATGATATAAATAAAGTGCTATGGTTTAAATAAAGTGCTATGATAATCTCATAAAGTGCTACGATTTAAATAAAGTGCCGTGCTTCAATAAAGTGCTATGATTTAAATAAAGTGCTGTGATTTTAATAAAGTGCTATGATAATCTCATAAAGTGCTACGATTTAAATAAAGTGCCGTGCTTCAATAAAGTGCTATGATTTTAATAAAGTGCTATGATAATCTCATAAAGTGCTATGATTTAAATAAAGTGCCGTGCTTAAATAAAGTGCTATGATTTAAATAAAGTGCTATGATATAAATAAAGTGCTATGATTTTAATAAAATGCTATGATAATCTCATAAAGTGCTACGATTTAAATAAAGTGCTGTGCTTAAATAAAGTGCTATGATTTAAATAAAGTGCTGTGCTTTAATAAAGTACTATGAATATTTAATAAAGTGCTACAATTTAAATAAAGTGCTATGATATAAATAACGTGCTATGGTTTAAATAAAAAGCTATGATTTAAATAAAGTGCTATGATAATCTCATAAAGTGCTACGATTTAAATAAACTGATGTGCTTTAATAAAGTGCTATGATTTTAATAAAGTGCTATGATATAAATAAAGTGCTATGATTTTAATAAAGTGCTATGATAATCTCATAAAGTGCTATGATTTAAATAAAGTGCTGTGCTTTAATAAAGTGCTATGAAGATTTAATAAAGTGCTACGATTTAAATAAAGTGATATGATATAAATAAAGTGCAATGGGTTAAATAAAGTGCTATGATTAAATAAAGTGCTGTGCTTCGATAAAGTGCTATGATGTATTTCAGAACATGTTTGTATACAGTAGGTCTAAACTACAGATACAACAAGACCTTCTATAAACACACTGGACATTTTGCTCTTTTCTTCAGAGGACACTGTTTTACTCTCGCAGACTTTGCCATTTGATAATTGCGCCAAATCAAATTGTGATTTCGATTCATTTTCAACATGTCACAACGAAAGCCGAAGGTGGATTCGAGGTGAAAGGCAGCAGCAGCAGCAGCAGGAGGGGTTAGGGGGGTTCTCGTGATTTTAGGGAATCACAAAAGCAAACATGAATCAAAGCCGAGCGAATGAGCAGAGACAGAAAAGATGTCTCCAACTTGTTGAAGATGTGTTTTTCTTATTGTATGACCAAACAGAATAAGAGACGTCTGTTATTTCACACACGCGTTATTCCGGTGGTGTGAAGTCAGTGCCTGAATAAACCCCGTAAACATGGATTTCTGTTTGTGCTTTTATCAAAGAAGTCAGCTTTTTTTTTTTTTTTTCCTACTCAGTCAGGAAGAGTCACAATTAAACCAGGTCCAATAATAAAGTCATTCAAGAGGGGGTATTTTACTTCTATGGGCTATTCACTGCAAACACATAACATATTTAGAACACCAAGTTACCTTTTATTGTTTTCAAAATGCTATATTTGCCAAAAACAAGGCATTAACGTGTCTTAAAAGTTTTAGTTTCATTTTTTACACTCTATCACTCCCCCTTCAGAGCGCTATCACAACACAATCCGAGTGCATGAAACTACTGCACATCAAATCAGGTTTGTCAGGTTGCTGTGTACAGTTTTGTCACATGTTTTTGTATACCGTATTTTTCGGACTATAAGGCGCACTTAAAATCCTTTAATTTTGGACGGTGCACCTTATGTATTAATTCTGGTTGTGTTTACTGACCTCGAGCAGATTTTATGTGGTGCACAGCGCTAAAAAAGCTGTCAAAATGTTTTAGTATGACTTTGGTAAACTACGAAGTCGCACCGCTTGATTGATTGTCGGAGCATTACGGCTGCTGTAGTCAGGAGCCTCATGGAGTCGTGTTCTTTAGTTAGACAGAAGCTGAACCGCATCAGCACACAAGGAGTGAGCTGTTTTTTCAGAGCTTATAGTTTATGCAAATTAGTCACATGGTTTTAACTTTTGTTTAGTTAAACAAATAAGCAAAGCTGCATTAAAGACATTATTACTCAGAGTATATTTGAGTTGTCCTCGTAGGAAATAAAAAACAAACAAAAAAAAACTTAAATGATCCTCCCACATTCACCAAGACAGAGAGGCAACACCGAGCAAGTTACATCACGATCTCCCAATGGATCGTGGACACCTGGACTAAGGATCAGTCTCAAGTGTCGTCCATTTGTTTCGCTTAATGCTCATTAAAATCTAGTGCAACTTATGTATGAAAATAGATGAGAGAATTCAACATTATTCATAGGCTACGTTCAGACTGCAGGGCTTAACGCTCAATTCTGATTTTTTTGTGAAATCTGATGTTTTTGCGAGGTCGTTCACATTTTCAATTAAATGTGACTTGTATGTGACTCCAGTGTGAACATTAAACGGCCCAAAAGTGTCCCGCATGTGACACTGGAGACACGACGACGTCAACCGCAGCGAGCGTCTCTGTGTTTACGGAAGTTGTCCAAACATGGACGCAGCATCGAGCACCTGGAGATTTTAAAGTTCCTCTCGTACCGGAGCCAGAACATGAACAAGTTATTTGTTTTAAGGAGGAGATTGAGAAGGAGAAGGACGAGGTTTTTGGTCGTGGTGTTTTGTGGGACAGCGGCAGCGACGTCCGTTGAAAGGAACGTGTGGATGTGGAGACGGAGCCAAGAGTGGTGAGTGGGTGATGTGCTTCACTTCAGTGACACGGAGTTCATTAACAATTTTCGCCTACTTCAGCGCAGAATAGTGACGTTTGTGTCTTGTTGATAACGTGTAGGTGGATGAATGCACTTTGGCCGTTCACACTGAAGTCACATGTCAAAAGATCAGATATGTATCGGTTTCAGGAGCACATATCCAAGTGTCCTGGGTCACATTTGAAAAAAATCTGATCTGTGTCGTTCAGACTGTCATTAAAAGATCAGATACAAGTCATATAGAGGCCAAAAAAATCAGATTTGGGTCACTTCAGGCTGCAGTCTGAACGCAGCCATATTGCGCCTTATAATCCGGTGTATCCCTATAGTCCAAAAAATACGGTGCTCATGTAGAACTGTCATGTGGGAGCATGGGTGACGTGGTCTTGTGGGTGTTGTCTTGGACAGAATCTTACAGCTAATCATAAGGAGGATTTGAAAAGTGCCCAGCAGAGATCACTAGATTACTTAAACATCTAAAACCTTTCAGACATGTTTTTGATAAGAAAACATGTGTCATAACATGGTAGAAAGCTCCAAAAGCCATAATATCCCCTCTTTAAAGTCATGTGATGTACGGGTCCATGCACAGACTCACCGTTACATGGTCCAGGGAGGAGGAGGGGGGCGTTCCCGCGCTGATCCGTCTGTTGCCCCGGTGACCGTAAACCACCTCGGGACAGGAAGTGAGCAGAGCGGCCGCAGCCACCGCCCACACAGCCAGAGTGCCCATGAGCGCCCACCTGAGGAGAGCAAAGGAACTGCATGTGAACAAGCATGACTCCTGGGTTTGTGTTTTCACAAAGCCAAAGTTTCAATATTAAGGAATAGACTCGATACTCGATACTGATTCTGAGTCCATGATGATAATAAAAAACAGGGGTGTGTACTAGTCTATGTGCTCTTCTACTTGTTCTGATACGGCTCAACATCATTCTTTACTATCAATACCTGCTCAAATAAGTGTTTAGTTATGAAGATTTTATTAATAAAATGTCATTTTTATGCAGGCAATAAAAGTACTTTCTTTATGTGACCATGAGATCTTATATGATATTTAGAAAATTAACTTTGTCTTCTTTTTATGTAGAAACACGAAGCGAAGCGCACGGACCATCAACAGAGATGAGGGGCTTTTACCTTGGCTCATACACGAGACTCACTTCTCCAGAGACCCAGAGGCCACACGGGGGCAAATGTACTGATTCTGATACAGATTTGTGCTGAATTTTGAACAGAAACACTAGATTATTATTATATATATATTTTTTTTTCAGATGTTTTTATTTGTATAGTTTTATTTGTTCAAACTATGGCTTTGATAAAAAATTAACCCTGCAGGTTTTTCAGCAGATCTCACACAGTAATAAAAATACTTTTACTTGTCAATCCTGTTCAAAAATGTATAGTCCCTGACAAAAGTCTTGTCGTTTATCTATTCTGTAGAAACAAAAGCTTATAACCTGAATTACATGACATGAATGACATAAAGACATGAACATCATTGAGCAGGTCTGGGGTAGAATGAAAGAGGAAGCATGGAGGCAAAACCAAAGAATCTTGATGAACTCTGGGAGGCTGTAAGACGCTTTCTTTGCTATTCCTGATGACTTCATCAACAAATTGTATGAATCATTGTTGAACCACATGGATGCGTCCTTCAAGCTCATGGAGTCATACAAGATATTAAATATGGATCTCACAGCACCACTACTTCATTCACTGACGTTATGCAACATATTTTTGTATTTGAAGTAAATTATTTGTTCAATTTTCTGTAGGCGACAAAACTTTTGTCTTGCCAAAATCTGACCTTTCTGTGTTCATTAAATGATCAATCTTTCTTCAGTGAAGCAAATTTATTTTAGTTTATTGAACATAATTTGGGAGGGTTTTAGCTTCATATGAGACATTTCTAAAACCAATCAATTAATTTAAAGTCAGGTTATAAGCTTTTGTTTCTACAAAATAAGCAATAAGACTTTTGTCAGGGACTGTAGTAGAAAGTACAGATACCTGCTCTCAAATGTACTGAAGTAAAAGTAAGTAACTTAAGCTTTACTTACAGTATTTTACTGCTTTTACTTTGTTATATTTCACCACTGGAGAAATGTAATGCCACACTGTGAAACATTCCAAGCAAAGCAAGAACATCTCCATCGACACAAGCGAAAAATCCCATAGTTCAGCTGTAAGTATTTTGCAGCACAAAGTACAGTTAGTGCTGGTGACAGTGGTGTGTGTGTGTGTGTGTGTGTGTGTGTGTGTGTTGTGTGTGTGTGTGTGTGTGTGTGTGTGTTCAGTGTGTGTGTGTGTGTTCATGTGTGTGTGTGTGTGTGTGTGTGTGTGTGTGTGTGTTCATGTGAGTGTGTGTGTGTGTGTGTTCATGTGTGTGTGTGTGTGTGTGTGTTCATGTGTGTGTGTGTGTGTTCATGTGTGTGTGTGTGTGTTCATGTGTGTGTGTGTGTGTGTGTGTGTGTTCATGTGTGTGTGTGTGTGTGTGTGTGTGTTCATGTGTGTGTGTGTGTGTGTGTGTGTGTGTTCATGTGTGTGTGTGTGTCGTGTGTGTGTGTGTTCATGTGTGTGTGTGTGTCGTGTGTGTGTGTGTGTGTGTGTTCATGTGAGTGACAGTGTAGAACCAGCCGTGCTCTTTGTGTTTCTAGGACAAGCTGAAATATTCATCGAGCCAAAGTGTTTAATATTAAATGGTGCAGTGCTGAGTCGATCACCGCGGTGACAGAGTCACTCACACACGTGAGCTCCACTCAACAGCTTCACACTGATACAAGTGGAAGAGACAGAAACAGACTCGTATCCGCCCATGGACCCGACCTGGACCACTGACGGATCACACACATACACAAGAATAAAAGAGAAATACTACCATTTACTGTTGAAAATCACAGTTTACTGTCTAAAGAAAGAGTTTTTATTATCATCGTGGTTCGGGAATCGGTATCGAGTATCAAACTGTTCCTTAGTATCGAAATGAAGTTTGAAATGTTTGTATCGTGACAACACTAACTCAAAATAAATCCACTGTGTGCTGTCTGCATCCAATTATAAAGTGGTTTATTGTTCAAGAATCAGGAAGGGTGTGTTAACATGCTAGTTATTATGGTTGTTTAGCCTCTGAGATTTGTAAAAAGTGCTTATAAGCTCATACGGTAAGTGAGGAATAACTTTAGAGCAGTAGAAACCATTTAAAGGGTCCTTGTTCAATCCTGGGGTAGTCTTGGTTTAATCCTGGTTTAATCCTGGTTTATTCTTGTACACTCCTGGTTCTGTCCTAGACCTTCTTTAGTCTGTCGTTAGTCCTGGTTTAGTCCCGGTTCACATCGAGTATGGAGTCTTACTTTTGAAAGCTTTGTGACAAGTCTAGTTCAAAATAATTCCACTGTGTGCTGTCTGCATCCTGTTATAAGTGCATGGAAGTGCATGTTAGCATTCTAGTTGATGCTATTTGATTTCTGGGAGTGATGAAAAACAGTCATATACTCATTCCGATGAACAATTAGGATGTTCAGTACGTATAAGGTAAAGGAAGTCAGTGTTTAGTCGTTCTTTAGTCCCTCTTTAGTCCTAGTTTAATCCTGGGTTAGTCTTGGTTTAGTCTTTAGTCTTGGTTTAGTACTACCAGTGTCGGGAGTAACAGATTACATGTACCGGAGTTATGTAATCAGAGTACAAATTACGAGTAACTGTATTCAGTTACAGTTACTGTTTCAGTGAGTGGTAATTGGATTACAGTTACTTTGTTGAAATAAATGGATTACACAGCAGTGTTTTACTGTTTTCACATTTTGGGCTAAACCCCTTTTTTTTTTTCTTTTTTTTTTTTTTTCTGTAATTCCACTCATTGCCAGAAACTAATCCAGGTCTAAACTAGATCTAAACCAGGTCTAAACCAGGACTAAACCAGAACTAAACCCAGGACTAAAACCAGGTCTAAACTAGGTCTAAACCAGGACTAAACCAGAACTAAACCCAGGACTAAAACCAGGTCTAAACTAGATCTAAACCAGGATTAAACTAGGACTAAACCAGGACTAAAACAGGATTTAACAGGACTAAACCAGGACTAAAACCAGGTCTAAACTAGATCTAAACCAGGACTAAACCATGCTGCGCAGACGTGTCTTCTCCTCTTCTATCAATAATATTTTTAATATGTTTAAGGAAAGTCTGGGCTTTTTATTTTCTTTTAAAAGACAAAACATCTTATGTTACGATATCCTCGTCTTTGCTTCTCTACAGCAAATCAAGTAATCCAAAGTATTCAGATTACATTACTCACTTTAAGTAATTTAATGGATTACGTTACAAACTACATTTTGGTGTGTGTAATCTGTAATCTGTAGGGGATTACATTTTAAAAGTCACCTTTCCAACACTGAGTACTACTAGAGCACTACTTTAGTCCTGGTTCAGTCCTGGTTCAGTCCTGGTTCAGTCCTGGTTTAGTCCTGGTTCAGTCCTGGTCCTTTAGTCCTGGTTCAGTCCTGGTTCAGTCCTGGTTTCAGTCCTGGTTCAGTCCTGGTTCAGTCCTGGTTTAGTCCTGGTTCAGTCCTGGTTCAGTCCTGGTTCAGTCCTGGTTCAGTCCTGGTTTAGTCCTGGTTTAGTCCTGGTTTTAGTCCTGGTTCAGTCCTGGTTCAGTCCTGCTTTAGTCCTGGTTCAGTCCTGGTTCAGTCCTGGTTCAGTCCTGGTTTAGTCCTGGTTTAGTCCTGGTTTAGTCCTGGTTCAGTCCTGGTTCAGTCCTGGTTTAGTCCTGGTTCAGTCCTGGTTTAGTCCTGGTTCAGCCCTGGTTTAGTCCTGGTTCAGCCCTGGTTTAGTCCTGGTTCAGTCCTGGTTTTAGTCCTGGTTTAGTCCTGGGTTTAGTCCTGGTTCAGTCCTGGTTCAGTCAGTCCTGGTTTCAGTCCTGGTTCAGTCCTGGTTCAGTCCTGGTTTCAGTCCTGGTTCAGTCCTGGTTCAGTCCTGGTTCAGTCCTGGTTTAGTCCTGGTTCAGTCCTGGTTCAGTCCTGGTTTAGTCCTGGTTTAGTCCTGTATACTCTTGGTTCTGTCCAAGTCCTTCTTTAGTCCTGGTTCACATTGATTATCGAAACTATTCCTTAGTATCAAAATTGAGTTTGAAAGTGTAAAATTGTGAAAACACTAGTTCAGAATAAGACCACTGTGTGCCGTCTGGATCCAGAGAAGTGTTGTATTGTTCTAGAATCAGGAAGGCTGTGTTAGCATTCTACTTGCTTTGCTGCTGAAATGTGTTAAAAAGCACTTAAAAACTCATCGTGGTGAATAATTAGGATGCTCAGATTGCACAGGGTAAGTGAGGAATAACTTTGGACGACTGCAAACTGTTTCAAATGAACAAATTCTGCTTTTCACGTTTTTAAGGACAGTAAAACTCAGCCGCAGCGACTTTAAATCGACAGGCTCCTCTACACCAGACAATACGGTAACGGCTCGGAACCACAGGGCTTCGTTCCAACATTATTAAATCCACGTCTTTTTACTGTGTTTGATAAAGACAAAGTGGTAGCGTCCTGCCTCACAGCGAGAGGGTCACCGGGTCAGTCCTCCGCAGATCTGCTCACTCGCCTCCTTTTTGCTGCCAGACACTTGTAAAACCGACCTGATTAATAATGCTGAATCCCCATAGAAACAGTGAACATAAATGAACTGTCCACGCGCAGGTCGGCCTGGTGTGAAACTGGGAAGTGGCCAGAGAATAAAACAGAGTCTAGTT